AGTGGGAGCCATCTCTTGGACAATAAATCCTAAATCACATGTAATCCATAACATACTTGAATTTTATCATCTTATTATGAAAGTGTTCGATAATGAAGATGATAAGATTTGCAAAGTAATCATAACTAAACTTGTGCAATAAGTGAACCACAACATTCACAATTGCACAAAAGAAATCAAGCATATTAGATATGGGTGTGATTTCTATAAATGTTTTTTAAAGAGTATTACTCTTAAACATTTGAGAAAACCATTTATCATAAAATAAAACGTTGAAAAGTTTCATAGTGGAATAAAATTTTGCTTATTATTCCATAAACTATTTAATTGTGGTTTATAATTAAATAATGAGTCTATTCGATTTGACGATATTCAATATGGGGTATCAAGACAATGTCTTGGATAAAGAAACACCTATTAAGTGAACATTGAATGTCATATCGAAGTTATCCTTGATCGAGGTCATTTGAAAGTTGGATGTCTAATGACAGTGTGAGATTAGTGTGTAGTATGATTTATAGCATCGTTTCTTGTGCTACAAGGACATGAGCATCATAAATCATTTGCACAGGTATTGGTTTCGAATTATATCGGATCGACGACCTATGAGAATACTTTAATAGATTTAAGAATCGTCATAAGTATATATCTCATTATGGTTATCGGTACCTTTTCCTCAACCATGAGTATTGTAAGTTCGCTTGTTTGAGTACTAGTCTGTTTTGGTGTTGTCAAACGTCTGCCGTAAAAGAGGATTATAAAGGCGACACTCGGGCAGCTAGGTCTCTTAGTAAGTGAAGCTTGACAATACAAGATTGGGAATGTCCTCCTATTAACAAAAGGAAATACTAGTATGTCTTTGTTGTTTATAAGGCCTCTCGAAGAGCGAGACTGTGAAAATGCATGGTCGTGCTCAGATGAATTTTGGAATTTATTAGTACTTGACAATTAAACTTGGAATTTCGAGGAACATTTCTGGACGTAATAAGGATAACGTTAGTTAAATCTTACCTTATAGTTCGTGAAGAGGCATTAAGCGACATAACAAAGGGCAATATGCATATTGCACACTTGTCCGGAAGGACAAGTAGGAAATTGAAAGGAATAGTGTCCTTCGAACAAGTGTATTATACCGATACAGGGTTCAGAATTAACTACGGAGTTAATTATTCAGTGAAGTCAAGTGATCGGAAAGCTGATCTAGAGGCCATCTTCGATCAGTGAGATTAATTATATTAATCTCAAAATTTTCCTTTAACTAAACCCAATGGGTCACACCCAAGCGTGCAACTGAACTAAGGCGACGAATTAAGCCTAAGGTTTTAATACATCAAACAAGAGGATACGTACTTCGACGTCAGATTCCGGACTTAGAGCGTCGAGCGTCGAGTCGATTTTAGAAATTGACGAGAGGGTAAAATAATCAAACAACACGATTTAAGGCCAAAACCCCAAAGCCATAGCCAAGCATTGGCCTAGCATTGTGCTAGTCATGCATGGGCTAGGGCCATAGGGCTACTAGTCGCATAGCGCTAGCATGGCTGCTAGGCCAAGCCGCCATGCGCATCATGGCAACCTGCCCAACACGCCATGTACGCGAGCATAACTAGCTGGTCGAGTTGCTAGCGCACCAAACCCGCATGGTTGTTGGGCGTGTGGTAGCTAACAGCAGCCCGGTAGCTTGTGTGTGGGCTAGGGTGGCATGGCACCCCAACCGTGGGCAATGGCAGTTGGTTGGGCTTGCTTTCAAGGCCCATGGTTGGGGCCAGCCACATGGGAATGTTTTGGGTTTTTGGCTCTTTGCTTCTTCTCCAAGGCATGGTAAGTGGTCCTCACCTAAGCCTTCTAATTATTGGACAAGTGTTGCTTGACTGTTTGTTCTAGCTATTTAATATAATTTAGAATTAAACTAAATGATAGCTTTTCTCAACTTTGCAAAGTCCCGCATTGAAAGATTTCAATGGGATGGGTGATGCCTCTCCTATAAATACCCAAGCTTGCCTTGGGAATTTATGGCAAGAGTTAAACTCTATAAAAGGCATCTCCATTGAGAAAACCTTATAAAAGAGATCCTCTTATTAGTAGTGTTAATATTACCCTAGCTGGTAATATTGACCAAAGTTTGGGCGCGTGGGTGCACCGCGTTAGAGGAGTCGCAATTAAGGCTCTAGCTCCGTTCGTGGGTTCGTGTTTGTGCTAGGTGGAAAACACGCTTCAAGGGTATGAACGTCTTTTCCCTCTTCTCTTTCTCTATTACGTGTTTATTGTTTCATTAATTATATGCATGTTTTAGTTTAGTCGCTTTAATTTATGCATGTGGTCCTTAGGCGGGTTTTGGTTCCGCGTTGTGTTCGCACACCGTAAAACCCAACATTATTCAACCAAGAGTTGCAAGAATTACAATTAGTAAAGAGCTTACTTACCTTGGAAATGCAATGGTTGATGGTAGGGCCAAAGTCCATTCAATCATTGCACAAATAAAGGACCTTGGAATCACTTAATTCAATTTGGACAATTTTATATTGATTAAAGTGCTTTAAAGTTACCTATTTAATAAATTTTATGGTCCTTTAATGTTTATTAAACATATTATTGAACTTTGCCTTATTTTGTCGTAGATGGGTAGTAGTAACATTGACAATAATTCACTTTACAATCTTTGACCTTTCCTTGAGAAGGATGGGTTGACTGGAGACGATTTCTCTAACTTGTTTTGAAATTTAAAGGTAGAGAGGAAGTAATAGATACCCCACTTCCTGAACCTTTGCCAGAAAACGCTACTGATGCTCAAAAGCGTAGGCATAAGGAAACTCTTGATCGAGTTGTACCAATCACTTGCTTGGTGCACGCGAATATGGAGCCTGGTCTTCAAAAGCGTTTTGAAGACAAGGATGCATATTCAATCATGCAAGAAATCAAAGGCTTGTTTAAGAAACAAGCACGAGTCGAGAGGTATGAGCTCCATCGAGATATTTTGGACTGTAAGATGGAGAAGGGTGCAACAGTACATGATCATGTTTACAAAATAATCGGCCCAATTAAAAATATGGAGAAATTGGGGCACCCATACACTTGAGAAATGGCTACTAATATAATTATCCACTCATTTCCAGATTCTTTCAATCAGTTTATCATGAACTTCAATATGTGTGAAGCTGACAAGACATTGAATGAGTTACATGCCATGCTGATTAGTGCAGAAAAACAGATCCCCAAGGATAATAAGAAAGATGTTCTTATGGTCCAAAAGGGAAAGGTGTTCAAGAAAGGGTCTACCAAGAAGAGTAAGGGCAAGAAAGTTTCCAAGACTCTAGAAAACCCCAAGTCTACTCCAAAGCCCAAGGCAGCTGGTGAAAGAGAATGCTTCTATTGTAAGAAAAAGGGGCATTAGAAGCGCAACTACCAGAAATACCTCGACTACCTAAAGAAGGATAAAGCGTCAAACTCAGGTATAATTCTATAAATACATTTTAACTTCTACTTAGGTATGTGATACCAAGTTGCAGTGCTAACATCATTTATGTTTTGCAGAAACTGCAAAGAAGTAGGGCTAGCATGGAAATGGAGCTTGAAGGTGCATGAGAAGTGTTCTATTGGCCAGAGAAAGCTTCATAGTTTGATTTTAGTTTTAATGAACATTAGACTTGTTATTTCCAGTTTTATTGAGACAATTTTCAGTTTTTGTTGAAATACTTATTTGGTTTTACTTATCATGGACAAATGTTGTTCCTTGATAAGGTAATAAAATGTCTTTCATTTGCTAGTTATGAGTTGATTTTGTTTTATAACATGGACATAAATAGATCACAAAAAGCAACAAACAGATGGTTCAAACCCAACCTTCCTATAGCATTGTAGGTTAGGTCATATTAACCAAACGCGCATCTAAAAGTTACAAAAGGATGGACTCCTTTCCTCATTTGATTATGAATCATTTGAGAATTGTGAGTCATGCTTGTTGGGAAAAATGACCAAATCACCTTTTACAGGAAAAGGTGAAAGAGCTAATGATCTTTTGGCACTCATACATACGGATGTTTATGGGCTCATGAGTTTAAAAGCTAGAGGTGGGTTGAACTATTTCATAACTTTTACTGATGATTTTGATTTAAGTAGATATGGATATGTCTACTTAATGAACCATAAATCGAAATCCTTTGAAAAGTTCAAGGAATTCCAGAATGAAGTTCAGAACTAACTTGGCAAGAGAATTAAAGCACTACGATCCGATCGTGGTGGAGAATAGTTGAGCCAAGATTTCAGTGATTATCTTAGGGATTGTGGAATTCTTTCACAATTGACTCCTCCTGGAACACCACAATTAAACGGTGTGTCAGAATGGAGAAATCGAACTTTGCTTGACATGGTTCGACCCATGATGAGCTTTAATTTACATATCTACACGTATCGTTCTGGGGATATGCTTTAGAAATAGCTACAAATATACTAAACAGAAGCCCGTCCAAAGCAGTGGAAAAGACGTCATATGAGTTATGGACTGGAAAATTTCCAAAGTTGTCTTTCCTTAAGATTTGGGGTTGTGAAGCTTATGTAAAACGTTTACAAAGTGATAAACTAGGCCCTAAATTAGACAAATGTATCTTTGTGGATTATCCCAAAGAAACAAAAGGGTATTACTTCTACAATCGCAAAGATAACAAAGTGTTTGTTGCTCCCGATGGTGTTTTTCTAGAAAAGAAATTTCTTTCTAAAAAGCCAAGTGGGAGTAAAGTGGTTCTCAAAGAAGTTCGAGACGAGCAACAAATGAATGTGGATAAAACCATGTCAGAGGCGAGGGCACATGAGTTTACTCAGTTGACAAGTTATGCGTTGGAGCAAGCTAATTCAACTAGCGAAACTCGTATTGTCCGACTTGAATCTAATTCATGCAAAAATCTTCAAAAAGTTGAAGAGAATATTTCTACTGTTGCTCCTACCCCTCGTAGGTCACTTAGAATAGAAACAAACAGTTTGTTGATGTTCTAGATATAAAAGTCAGTCTAGAACAAGTCTATAGAACCAAGATGAACTCCAAACAGTCAATGAAATTAGAGTTACTGACCTGTCAGGAACTTAGAGACTGTCAGAGTTCCGGAACCTAACAGGAACTTAAGTTTGCGCGTTTTTAAAAGTCGATTTTAATGATATATATATTTATTTCATACGTGCAGATCTTTTATGGATTTGGTTTTATTGAAAAATATATATTTTTTCTAATAAATCCCTTTTGGAAAAAAGGTAAGTTTGTTTGGAAAATATTTTAACTAAAAGATAAGTTTTGAATAAAATCTTATTTTATGGTGAGTATATCTTTTTATTATTGACAAAATTTATTCTTAACAAAAAGATATATTTTTGGAAAACTTATTTTTAGAAAATATCTTTTAAACATATCTTTTAGTAAAACTTATCATTTACGAAAAAAATTATTTGGGTGTACTATAAATATGCTCATATGTATTCATTCAAAGTTAAGGCTGACGAAGTGCAGTGGTCGTGCTTAATGGTTTTATCCTTCACTATGAAGCTAAATCAGTCCTCCTAGTCAAAGTTTCGGCCAGGGTTTGGTTTGAATTCGTCCAGTAAGTTCCGGACAGATCTCTAGTGTCCAGCATATTAGTTTTATCTCTTTATTCATTCATATGTATTTAGAGTTATTCTTTGAGATCTTGTAATGGAAAAAAGGGTTTTGAGTGTTTTATGTATTGGGGTGTGAGGGTTCGTGAGGATTCTCGTTATTTTAATTGTAAGAGTGTAAAGTGTAAGCTTCTAGTGTGAAGCCGAGTGAGCTTCTCGTGAGCGGCCGAGTGAATAGTACTCTGGGAATGCTGAGTGGAATCTAAGTCCAAGATTTAGGTTGGGTAGGATAGGATCCTATCGAGTAGCAAGTTAAGTCAGGAACTTGTGAGAAAGGTTTGATTGTAATAGGTTGTAACTAGGAGTGTTTGGCCTATTATAGTGGATTGGTTTGGTTTTAAATCCCTTGGAGGATCGAGGTTTTACTTCTAGTTAGGCCCTGGATGGTTTCCTCGTAAAATCCGCTTTGCATTGTCTAAGTTCCTAACAACAATCAGTTTTATATTCTTCGAAAATTAGTCACTAAGAACATACTACAATTCACCCCTCCTCTTATAGTATATCATCCAAATAACAAATACAATTAGTCCAAGAATTGTTTAGATCCACAAAACCTTCAGGATGTGTCATGTACACAGTTTCTTCCAAAATCCCATTAAGGAAGGCGGTTTTGACATCCATTTGCCATATTTCGTAATCTAATATGCGGCAATTGCTAGGATAATCCAGACAGACTTAAGCATTGCGACTGGTGAAAAGGTTTCATCATAGTCAACGCCGTAAATTTGCATGTAACCTTTTGCCACCAATCTAGCTTTGTATACATATACATTTCCATCTTTGTCAGTTTTCATCTTAAAAATCCATTTGCAACTGATAGGTGTGTAACATTCGGGCAAATCAACCAAGTCCCAGACTTGATTTTCAAACATGGAGTCCATATTGGAATTCATGGCCCCTAACCATTTAGTAAAGTCGGGACTTGTCATAGCTTTCTTGTATGTCGCTGACTCATCATCCATAACTAGGACTTCCTGATTCTCGATTAACAAGACACCAAGGTATCTATCTGGTTGAGATCTTTACCTTTGCGACCTACGTGGGGCGATAGGTTGAGTATCAACATTGTTGGTTTGACTCAGACTTTTATCAACAGGTGCTTCCAAAGCCCTTTGATTGTCAGGTTCCTTTTGTTGTTCATCCTCGAACTTCATCAAGTTCGATTTTCCTCCCACTTGTCATTTTGGAAAGATGCCCCTTTTCTAAAAAGGCACCATCTCGAGCAACAAATACTTTGTTCTCAAATTGGTTGTAGAAGTAATAACCCCCTGTTTATTTCTTGGATACCCCACAAAGAAACATTTGTCAGATTTTGGTGCAAGCTTGTCAGACATGAGTCTCTTGACATATGCTTCGCAACCCCAAATCTTTATTAAAAGACAACCGTGGAGGTTTCTTCGTCCATATTTCATATGAAGTATTTTTGACAACTTTTGACGGAGCACGGTTCAGTGTTAGTGCAGCAGTTTAAAGTGCATGTACCCAAAACGATATAGGAAGATCGGCTAGAGCCATCATGGATCGAATCATATCCAACAAGGTTTGGTTCCTCCTTTCAGACACCTCATTCCATTGTGGAGTTCCGGGAGGTGTTAACTCTTAACGAATACCATGTTCTTTCAAATGATTGTCGAATTCATATCTCAAATGTTCGTCGCCTCAATCCGATCGAAGGGCTTGGATTTTCTTTCCAAGCTGCTACTCTACTTGACTCTAAAACTCTTTGAACTTTTCAAAAGATTCAAATTTGTGCGACATTAGATAGACATATCCATATCTACTATATTCGTCCGTAAAGTTGAAGAAATAGCGATAATCTTTCCTTGCGGTCGTGCTCATTAGCCCACACACATCCGTGTGAATGAGTCCCAATAAGTCACTTGACCTCTCTCTTAACTTGGAGAAAGGTTACTTTGTCATCTTACCAAGCAAACAAGATTCACAATTTTCAAATGACTCCAAGTCAAATAAATCAAGAATACCTTTGCAAAGAAGTTTCTTGATGCGCTTGATGTTTATATGGCCTAGACAACAATGCCATAAGTAGGTTTTATTCGGCTCATCGGTCTTAACCCTTTTAGTGGTATGTTAAACATTATAAACTTGTTTGTCTAAAGAAAGCACATATATAAAGACCATTTTCTGAACGTGTCGTACCATAAAAAACATTGTTAAGATAGCTAGAACAACAATTGCCCTTTATCTTGAATTCAAAACCCTTGGCATCCAACGCCGTAATTGAAATAATGTTTCTAGTGATACTTGGAACATGATAACAATTGTACAATTCTAAAACAAGGCCCGAGGGCAAAGACAAACTGAGTGTTCCTACGGATAAGGCTGCAATCCTTGCTCCATTGCCTACCCGAAGTTTCACTTCTCCCTTCGCTAGCTTCCTACTTCTCTTTAGTCCTTGAGAATCAGAACAAAGATGTGAGCCACATCCGGTATATAATACCGATGAAGCATTGCTAGAAAAGTTAAGGTCTATAACGTATATACCTGAATAAGAAGCAACATTGTTGTTCTTCTTATCCTCCTTAAGCTTGAGGCAGTCTTGTTTCCAATGCCCCTTCTTCTTGCAGTAGAAGCATTCGGAGTTGGACGGAGAAGAAGCTACCTTCTTTTGCTTGTCGCCTTTGGTAGCTTTTGGCTTAGGCGAAAAGGTCTTCTTGCCCTTCCCCTTGTAGCCCTTCTTCTTGACTGATCGCTTGAATGGATTTCCCTTCTTTACCATAAGCATGTCATGCTTCCCCTCATCCTTGAGCGTTTGCTCGGCCTGCTTCAACATCCGATGAAGCTCTGTGAGGGTTTTCTCCATGCCGTGCATGTTATAGTTCATGGTCATATCCTCTATGCAGCGAATGGAGAATAATGTTAATTTCCATCTTGGTCAAGTACCTCGCATCGAGCCTCCCCAGGTTCTCGAATAATTTAATCATTTTGAGTACATGCTGGCTGACTGGCTCTCCTTTCTTGAGCTTGCTCTTAAGGATTTGCCTATGGGTCTCAAACCTTTCGGTTCTAGCCTGCTCTTGAAACATATTCTGAAGCTCAGATATGATTTTAAAATCCGTGTCCTTCTCCAAAAATGTCTTTTGAAGCTCCGAGGACATTGTGGCTAGCGATGCATTTGACATCCCGATTGGCACTTATCCATCGGTTTAGGGCAGCCTAAGATACCTCCTCACTCGGAGCGAGAGGCATCTCCTCATCAAGGACATACTCCTTTTGTTCTTGCATAAGAACAATCCTCAAATTCCTTTGCCAATCATGGAAGTTGGTTCCGCTCAACTTCTCCTTGTCGAGAATTGAGCGGAGAGAAAACTGGTTTTTGTTGTTAGTAGCAGACATTGTTCTACAAATGAAAAGAATTGCAATGAATACCCATTCATAAACCAATAAGTTTGAAAATATACTTGCAATTTTCAATTTTATTAACGTTTTATTCACACATTTATAAGTTTGTCCCATTTAGGCGAGAATAAAATGATTCCAAGACCCCCAAAATCAATAAGTGGTTAAGCATGCTTGGGCTTGTCTTAACACTTATAATTTCAAGGTAAGCAATCCAATTGCTAATAGTTCCAAATTATTCTTGGTTTGATAAGTTGTCGCATCTAATGCTTTCATGAAACTTATCTTGTTTACCACAATATCTAAGGAATCCTTACTGATGCTCACTACGCCAATTTTATCATTTTACAGCGCTTAAAATTTCTTTTTATAGCAGTTCTTGAACCACTATTAATCGCTTCGCTATAAAAACATAAGATGCCTTTTAATAGCAGTTCAAAAAATCGCTATAGTAAGTGCTTCTAGGTTGTACATCATATCTTCTTTTAATAGCGTTTTTGTAAGAACCGCTATAAAAAGATTTCATATTTACAAAATAAATAATTAAAAAAATGCAATTTTGTGAATGTAATATCACACATTTACCGCATGAATATACCTAAATATAACATCAAACCTTAAATAATTATGAAAAAAATAACATAAAAATATGTTTATGCATAAATTAAATTTAAATAATGGATATTCCCATAATACAACCAATACAATCTAATAATCCCTAAAAAAAAAAAAAAACCTAATACAATCTAATAAAAACATAACAAAAATTATACTAAGGTAAAACTAATTCATCTATAATGTTCATGAAATTTATTACGGATGTACATTCCTCTAATCTATGTACTAGTTATGGGAAAACTCAATCATCTTGCTTGGCACCTTAAATTCAATCGCACTTGATCAATCTTGATTTTGGTTGTAACTTAAACATGAACCTGAAAAACAAATGTTGATGGAAAATTTTTGCATTACAAACAATATACATATGAATAATATGATAAATACTACAATAAAAAACTACTAGTAAGTAGTGAATAATAAATCCCAAAATGTACTAAACTACTAAAATGCACAATTAAGTCATGAAACAAATTAGAACATCCTAGATCTAGGGCTTGTAAAACTAATCTAGCTAACTAATCCATATCAAATTATCAATCAACAATTCAATTCCAAAAAAAAAAAAAAAACCCCACAAATTCAGCAGTTATAAACCGAAAACAATAAGATTAAGATGGATTGTTCATACCAATTTCAAGTGTCATGCTTTAACCAATTTGAATATTTAGGGACCCCAATTTTGTGATGACACTGAAAAGAGGAAACATAAAAGTTTAATATACATATTTTGTGAAGCAAAAACAGAAGCTTCACAATTAATTAGAATCAGAAACGATACCCGAATTTTTGATACCTAGATCAAAAGGCTAAGCATAAGAAAATTGAAATAAAAAGACAACTAGAAAATTTGTTTCTAACCGACTTAGAGTAATGAAATTTTTAATAATGAACAACGACCATGAATTCAAGGTGAGAAAGTAATGTAGACAAATGAAGGTTTTTATTTCGGTTGTATGTACCACAAATATGGGCGGAATCACTGATAGGACGTCGTCAACCTATCAAGAAATAAGACCTAACTCGATCCTACTCAACTAGTAGCAAGGGCAAGAAAGGGTCGAACCCATGAGAGGCGTTGAATCAACCACCAAATGTTATTGTTTAAACAAGCTAGATTAAGTCGGGGGTTTTAAGTTGGTATTACGTCACACTATTCTAATTCAAATCAACTAATTCTAAGAGGTGATTAACAATATTAAGAAGGCCTAGGGCATGGGTTACACCACTCAACTTCATCACGGACCACAAGTAGCATGCATAGAAATGGTGATTTAGGGGATAAATTAGGGGAAGTTATCAAATGCACCCAACTACTCTCTCAAGCTAGAGGGATTACTTGACATCAAAACCATAACCTACTCTCGTGATTATGGGCAAGAAACAAGTGTTAAAACATCCTCACGATAACATGCAAATTCCCTTGACTAGAAATTCCTATTCTCATGGCAAATCAAGTCAATCAAGCATAAGGGAGCTTCCTCAAGTTCATCTCTCGATCCTTCGTTGAGGAAGCTAGATAAATAATTCAAGCAATGGCCAATTACAAGAATTAACAATGAAACCTCTTAAACTCAACTAATTAACACCCCACAATTAACAAATTAGTACATGCAACAAGTGTTGGTGATTACATTGAGGGTTCACCCAAACCCTAGAAATTAGACTACTCACAATCCATGGAAGTTAAAGCAATTAAAGATTTCAAGGAATTCATGAACAAATTAAAACTAAGAATTAAGTAGAATCTAACAATTAAACATGCAAAGAACAACCAAACAATTAATAAAAAGCAAGAATTAAAGATATAAGAGAGAAAGAAAGAGTAAGAAAAATTACTAGAAGCTTCAATAATTGACTAACAATGGTGGAACTTGTCTTCTACAATGATTGGATTGAAAAACCTTCAAAACAAGAACTAAAATCTATGCTAATTTGAGGATTTTGTGTTTCAAACTAAGAGGGGTATGAAAATCTGGAAAAATTGGGAACCCCTCTAAAATGGTCCAAAGGGGCTATTTATATTACCCCCTAAAATAAGAGGACGGTGAAAACAAGAAACGGGTAAACTGTAGGTCTGCACGGACGTGCTGAAGTTGGCACGTCCGTGCAGACCAAGGCAGAAACTCAGTTTAAGACGACCTGCTGCAGCACGGGCGTGCACCTTTGGCACGTCCGTGCTGCATCATCTGCACGGACGTGCAATATTTGGCACGTCCGTGCAGGCCTTGGCAGAAAGATGGCTTCAGGTCTGCACTCCTGCACGGACGTGCAACATCTTGCACGGCCGTGCTGCCTCATAATCACGGAAGCACGTCCGTGCTGCATCATCTGCACGGACGTGCAATATTTGGCACGTCCGTGCAGGCCTTGGCAGAAAGATGGCTTCAGGTCTGCACTCCTGCACGGACGTGCAACATCTTGCACGGCCGTGCAGGGTCTTCTGGGCCCTTTTCTTCGTGTTTTCTTCTACGATGCTCTTGTACTTGGATTCTTTCCATCATTTCCTTGCTTCTAACCTCGGTTTGGTAACCATGGGCTTCATTTGGTCGTCTTTGGACCTAAAATCTCAACAAAAACACTAACAACCCGTGAAGCATAGGATACACAAAAATTGCATAATAATAGGGTAAAAGTGAACCAAAACACAAATTTGTTCAGGTAAACTAGGTTCAAATACGGCCTAAAACCGCATAAAATAGCAAGTTATCAAATCCCCCCAAGCTAAGCTTTTGCTCGTCCTCGAGCAAACTAGTCATGACAAAACAAATAGAGGGAACTAACTTGTTATAGAAGGTTGAAGCAAAAGTTAAACCAAGAAAGGGTAGGCATACACAATAAACCGAACGATCACTTTTAGCAAAAGTGAGAAGCCGTTTAAACCTACAAGTCGCCTAGTAGGACGAGTCCATCTCTCGTGAGGGTTTCCAAAGAGAATCACCCACAACTCCCACAAACACAACACACGATTTTTTTATTTTTTTTTATTTTTTTTTTTATAGCCCAAGTCAACTCATCGGGATGTGATTCAAAAGCAAGACAAGTGAACAACTTTCAAGAATTACCAATCATACAAATGTACACATGAGTTGGGGGTAGAGAGGAGAACTAAACAAGGTTGCACTAGGATACTTCCTTTGGCCTTTTACTATTTCATTAGAGCACACCTAGATATTCCAAAGTTGTAACAAGCCCTCTTTCGGTTATAAAATCTCAAAATGCTAGTCCACCTCCCAAAATGCACACCCAAGGCCCCTTAACTACACTCTAACTCGGGAATTTCATAAGAAACAACAATGCAAACAAGGTGTGGGAGGCATCCACGAGTTGACCTCTAAAGAAGAGATTTTTTTTTTTTTTTAGAAGTTTTGGGGTAGTTTTTGTTCTCCCCTTTTTTATGCTCTTCTTTTTTTTTTTCAATTTTCAATGCCCTCGCCTCTTTTAACTGTGAGCGGCTCTTTCTTTATTGAGAACGTGTGGCTTATTACGCCACTTATTACACATGATACAAGTAGAACCAACTCCCTAATAGAGTTTCATTTCGGGGAGGAAAGGGGACACATCAAGGGCACAAGGGACCACAAATTTATTCAAACATATCCTACTTGAGCAAATTAGACAATATCTTATACTAGGCGTGCAATTGAGCATTCATTGGCTTTCATTTCATATACTCCAATGCAATCAAGATTAATAGACCTCTAAATGACCCCCAACTCGTGCACACACTCTTCTAAAAAAAACTTTTACTCATCACTCAAGAGTCAAGCAAGCAAAACATATAATCGTCATATGAGTTTCATCCTTGGGCACTTTTTCATCATTTTTTTTTCATTTTTTTCTCTCTTTTTTTTT